TCTCCTCTTTCACTGTTCTCTCCCCCTTTTCTCTGTTCTTCCACTCTTCTTTCTTCTCCTTTCTGGCTTTTCTTTCCTCTCTTGTTATTCTCTCCCCTCCTCCTCTTTTCTTTGTTTTTCTTTCTCTTCTCTCTCTCTTTTCTCTTCTCTCTCTTCTCTTTCTCTCTCTTCTCTCTCCTCTCTTCTCTTCTCTCTTTTTCTTTTTCTTCTCTTCTCTTCTCTCTCTTTTTTTTTTTTTCTGTTCTTTCTTTTCTTTCTCTTTTCCCTTCTCTCTCTCTCTTCTCGTCTCTTCTCTTCTCTCATTATTCTTTCCTTTCTTCATTCACTTTTTCCTCTTCTAACTCATTCTTCTCCCCCTTCCTCCTCTCCTCCCTCTCTCTTCTTTCCATTCCTCTTCTACTCTTCTCTTCATTCCTCTTTCCCTTTTTCCTCTTCTCTTTTCTCTTCTCTCTTCTCTCATTATTCTTTCCTTTCCTCTTTCACCTTTTCCTCTTCTGACTCACTCTGCTCCCCTCCTCCTCCTCTCCTCCTCCTCCTCTCCTCCTTCTTTTCTTTCCATTCCTCTTCTACTGTTCTCTTCATTCCTCTTCCACTCTTCTCTTCTCTCGCTTTCCTCTCCTCTTTCACTGTTCTCTCCCTCCTTTTCTCTGTTCTTCCACTCTTCTTTCTTCTCCTTTCTGGCTTTTCTTTCCTTTCCTCTCTTGTTATTCTCTCCCCCTCCCCTCCTCCTCTTCTCTTTTCTATTTTTTTCTTTCTCTTCTCTCTCTCCTCTCTTCTCTTTCCTCTCTTCTCTCTCCTCTTCTCTTTTCTTTTTCTTCTCTCTCTTCTCTCTCTCTTTCTTTTTATTTCTGTTCTCTCTTTTTCTCTCTCTTCTCTTCTCTTCTCTTCTCGTCTCTTCGCTCATTATTCTTTCCTTTCTTCTTTCACTTTTTCCTCTTCTGACTCATTCATTCTTCTCCCTTCCTCCTCTCTTCTCCTCCCTCTCTCTTCTTTCCATTCCTCTTCCACTCTTCTCTTCATTCCTCTTTCACTTTTTCCTCCTCTGACTCACTCTGCTCCCCTCCTCCTCCTCTCCTCCTTCTCTTCTTTCCATTCCTCTTCCACTCTTCTCTTCATTCCTCTTTCCCTTTTTCCTCTTCTCTTTTCTCTTCTCTCATTATTCTTTCCTTTCTTCTTTCCCCCTTTTTCCTCTTCTCTTTATTCCTCTTTCCCTTTTTCCTCTTCTCTTTTCTCTTCTCTTTTCTTCATTCCTCTTTCCCTTTTTCCTCTTCTCTTTTCTCTTCTCATCTCTTCTCTCCTCTCATTATTCTTTCCTTTCCTCTTTCACTTTTTCCTCCTCTGACTCACTCTGCTCCCCTCCTCCTTCTCTTCTTTCCATTCCTCTTCTACTCTTCATTCCTCTTTCACTTTTTCCTCCTCTGACTCACTCTGCTCCCCTCCTCCTCCTCTCCTCCCTCTCTCTTCTTTCCATTCCTCTTCTACTCTTCTCTTCATTCCTCTTTCCCTTTTTCCTCTTCTCTTTTCTCTTCTCTTCTTTCCTCTTTCACTTTTTCCTCCTCTGACTCACTCTGCTCCCCTCCTCCTCCTCTTCTTTCCATTCCTCTTCCACTCTTCTCTTCATTCCTCTTTCACTTTTCTCTCCTCTCCTCTCCAGCTCCTCTCCAATTTAGACCCGTGACGTTGTGAGGATATTTAATATGATTTGTAATCCTGGGATCCATTTTTTTCTTGCGGTCCTCAAGCTGAACTTCTCAGTTCCTCAGCACAAGCTTTTCTAATGACTGTAAAGTCAGTTAAATATCATCAGTCCTGATTTATTGCTGGTGTGTGAGAGATAAAATCACGATTGGTTTCTTCTGCTCCACTCAGGCCCCATTCAAACTTTGGCGTTCCGGGAACGTGTATGTATATAAATGCGCTTCTTTACTCTTTCCTGGAAGAATGCGAAAACGGCGGCAAAACGTGTGCTGCGTTTGGGGTGTCGTTAGTTCTAAATGGCACCCCAAACGTGTGTAGCAATCACAAAAAAAAAATGCAAAAATGTGCTTCGCAAAACGCGATTGGCTCAGCGCCAAAAAAGGTACGGGCAATGGGCTGCCCTATACTGACGCGTTTCGCCGTAACGAAAGCGCCATGTCGCGTCATACAGGTGTGAATGTGGCCTAAGAATGAAAGCCAGAGAGCCTATGATTGGTGCAGCTGCCTACAGGGCAGGGAATGCGACCATTAGAAAGGGGCTAAGTGATGATGTGATAACATGAAAACCTGCACCCTCCAAAAAAAACGTATCTTTTTTTTTTTAAATGATGGTGAATAGATTGGATAGAAAATCCCGGTTGGCGCGTCCTCCTCATCCCCCCCCCCCCCCCCCCCGGCTTGGAGGAGTTAAACCGACGATCTACGCCATGACATCAATTTACGAGGGAACAATTCAGTTCCCCGACTCCGGTGAAATATCTCGCCTCTGATTAATAATTCCTGGTGGGGCTCGGCGACTACAAGCCGTGGGTGATTGGTTTCCCCCAGCGCGCAGCGCGCACATCAAACATTTAAAATGTTTAAGTTGACAATTTGGAGTTTGTTCGGCTGAGCGGCGCTGCAGGGCCAGCCAGAGCTCATCAAATATACATGGCGCCTGAGAATGAATCACGCACTCCGCCAGGTTGGGTGCGCGGAAGGGTTCCTCTTAGAACCCGGAGTCGCATTTGTTAATGGCGGCTCTGATCCTTCTCTATGCCTGGCTGAGATAATCAGACGTGTCAGCGCTAGAAAGGGACGGCCGGTCCCAAGAGCTTGTGATTAGGCGTTGGCGGCATAGATATCATGAATTCAGCGCGGTGCATCTATAATTCACCATCGCATCGTTAATCGGCTTGATCTCCGGAACTTCAAAACATGTTGCAGCGTGGTTGGATCCTGGAATGTTTTTTACCCCTCCCCCCAAAAAAAATAAAAGTTTGTAAAACTACTAAAAGGGAAATCCTCTGCAAAGAAAAAAAACTCTTGTAATCATTTGTAGGCAATTTGTATTTTAATTGTTTTTCCCCCAATGCTCGAGCTTCTAGATCAGGGGGGTCACACTCCATTTCATTAGGGGCCGTATCAGCATTATGGTGGCCCTCAAAGGGCCGGTGGCATCTGCAAGACTAGATGTCCAGAGCACCCCCCCCCCCCCATTACATTAGATGTCAAGAATCCCACACCCTCCCTATCATCACTGTGCACCCCCTTTGTGGGCAGAGCTGGAAAGCAGAAAGTGCAGAGTCTGGAGGAGGACCAGAGGAGGAGTGGAGTCAGTTGCCAGAGTCTGCTGAATGCTGAGACCGGGGGAGGCAGAGATGAGGGGGGGCTGCAGCTGCACTGAGGGGCGCAGGATTTGGCAGAGGAGTTCTATTCTCCTCTCTGCTGCCGACTGCTGAGACAAGGTGGGGGTGGAGACAAGGAAGTACCTGCAGCAGAGGTGCACACAGGGCGGACTGACAACTCATGGGGCCCCGGGCGATAGAGGATCATGGGGCCCCTGTGTCCTTGCCCAAACTCAAAAAAGCCTATGAAAAAGGTACCAGGGGCATCTCATGGGGCCCCCTACTGACCGCGGGCCCTCGGGCAGTGCCCGAGGTTCCAAATGGTCAGTCCGCCCCTGGGTGCACATGAAATGGCTTGGAGGGCCGGATTCGGCCCCCGGGCCTTGTGTTTGACACCTGTGTTCTAGCTTTCTCCCCATGTCCTCCAGATACTATGGGGGTTACACCACTTTCCAAGTCTGCAGTCATATCTTTAGTGGGTCATTGCCCTCAACTCCTCCACCCCCACCTCAAGGTTTTAGGTTTTTCTATCTGTGGCCCCTCCATTAGATGTTCTCTCTCTTCCTGTCACCGTGACACCCATACAAGAAATAGGGGGTGCAGTTTTTCCCTAGGAACTGGAAGACACACCCACCATTAGTCTAAATAAATTTTTGCCGAAAATCTGATACACTGAAATAAGCCAAGTAAGTTCAGTTTGGAGCTGTTCTACCCACCAAACAATTTGCATTTCTGTCCATTCAGTCCTGAGTGGACTTTTCCTCTGCTGCAGTTTCATTTTCACTTACAGGTCCCCTTACCACTCCAACAATGTGATTAGATGGTGAAAGGAGAAGCCGCAGACTGATGAGTTCATCTCTGTCACTCTGCTCTCTCCTTCATGCATGTTGCCTTCACTGCAATTCCGGTGATTGGCTCCTCCCTTTCCCAGACATTACAGTGTACACACACTATATTGCCCGCAGTAATGGTAGGCCGGCCTTTCCACACACATGAACCTTTAATGGCCCCCCAGTCTTAGTCCGTAGGGTTCAATATTGAGTTGGCCCCGCCCTTTCCACACACATGACCTTTAATGGCCCCCCAGTCTTAGTCCGTAGGGTTCAATATTGAGTTGGCCCCGCCCTTTCCACACACATGACCTTTAATGGCCCTCCAGTCTTAGTCCGTAGGGTTCAATATTGAGTTGGCCCCGCCCTTTCCACACACATGACCTTTAATGGCCCCCCAGTCTTAGTCCGTAGGGTTCAATATTGAGTTGGCCCCGCCCTTTCCACACACATGACCTTTAATGGCCCCCCAGTCTTAGTCCGTAGGGTTCAATATTGAGTTGGCCCCGCCCTTTCCACACACATGACCTTTAATGGCCCCCCAGTCTTAGTCCATAGGGTTCAATATTGATTTGGCCCCGCCCTTTCCACACACATGACCTTTAATGGCCCCCCAGTCTTAGTCCATAGGGTTCAATATTGATTTGGCCCCGCCCTTTGCAGCTATAACAGCTTCAACTCTTCTGGGAAGGCCGTCCACAAGGTTTAGGAGGGTGTCTATGGGAAGGTTGGACCATTCTTCCAGAAGCACATTTGTCAGGTCAGGCACTGATGTCACGGGGGAGGAGGCCTGGCTCGCAGTCTCCGCTCTAATCCGACGCTTTGCGTTGCACTTGGTGATGGAAGGCTTGGATGCAGCTGCTCGGCCATGGAAACCCATTCCATGAAGCTCTCTACGCACTGCTGTTGGGCTCATCTGAAGGCCACACCAAGTTTGGAGGTCTTTAGCTATTGACTCTGCAGACAGTTGGTGACTTCTGCGCACTGTGCGCTTCAGCATGCGCTGACCCCGCCCTGTCATGTGACGTGGCCTACCTCTTGGTGGCTGAGTGGCTGTTGTTCCCAGTGGCTTCCACTTTGTTATAATCCCACTAACAGTTGAGCGTGGAATATTTAGTAGCCAGGAAATGTCACGGATGGACTTATTGCCCAGGTGGCCACCTATCACGGGACCACGCTTGGAGTCACTGAGCTCCTGAGAGTGACCCATTCTTTCACCAATGTTTGTAGAAGCAGTCTGCATGCCTAGGGGCTTGATTGTATACACCCGTGTCCATGGAGGGGATTGGAGCACCTGAATCACATGATATGGAGGAGATTGGAACACCTGAATCACATGATATGGAGGGGATTGGAACACCTGAATCACATGATTGGGAGGGGATTGGAACACCTGAATCACATGATTGGGAGGGGATTGGAACACCTGAATCACATGATTGGGAGGGGATTGGAACACCTGAAGCCACATGATATGGAGGAGTTTGGAACACCTGAATCACATGATTGGGAGGGGATTGGAACCCCTGAATCACATGATTGGGAGGGGATTGGAACCCCTGAATCACATGATTGGGAGGGGATTGGAACCCTTGAATCACATGATATGGAGGGGATTGGAACACCTGAATCACATGATATGGAGGGGATTGGAACACCTGAATCACATGATATGGAGGGGATTGGAACACCTGAATCACATGATATGGAGGGGATTGGAACACCTGAATCACATGATATGGAGGGGATTGGAACACCTGAATCACATGATATGGAGGGGATTGGAACACCTGAATCACATGATATGGAGGGGATTGGAACACCTGAATCACATGATATGGAGGGGATTGGAACACCTGAATCACATGATATGGAGGAGATTGGAACACTTGAATCATATGATTGGGAGGGCGGGGACAATACTTTGGGCAATATAGTGTGTATATATATATATATATATATGGCTTTTTTTCCCCAGAGAATAGGTGCAAATATTCTCCCCCTTGTCTCCACCCACTACCCACCCCTGAGGACTGTCCCTTGGTTCCGCCCCTACCTACCTCCCACTACCACTCCATTTAGGGAATACAGGTAATTTGTATGGAATTTGATAAAAATAACAAGAAAAGCTGTAAAATAGATCCCCTGCAGACAGCAACAATAGACCCCTGCCAGCTACAATAGATTTCCCAGAAGCCAGAAACAACAGACCCCTCCCTCAACAGTACATCCCTTGGATCAACAATTGACCTTCTATCAACAATATACCCCCCAGTGGCAATAAACCCTCAGCAGCCAGAACAATAGACCCTCCAACACACCCCACCCCACCCCTTGCCATTACATACATTCATTTTTGGAGGTGCTTGAACTGCGTTCCCCCTATCCCCCACTGAAAAAAGCCATAAATATATATATACATATATATATATATATATATATATTCCTGTCTGGCAGGAGAGGGGATCCTTCTTTCTCTGCTGCAGTTTCACTTTCACTTACCCACCTTTACCCTGTAATTGGATAGTGAAAAGAGAAGCTGCAAACTGATGAGCTCATCTCTCTGTCACTCTGCTGTCTCCTTCAATCAGCATGCTTCTTGCACTTCGGCTAACCTGATTGGCTCTTTGTGCTGCTTCTATCTCCCCCAGTCTGAGTTCTGCTGTTACAAGGAGCTAATAACATGTCAATTTCGGGCCACTTACACAGCTTGCATTAAAAAACAAAATACAATTATTGATTGCAATAATGATTATGGGATGAATTAATTTTATTATCTGCCCAGATTAAGAAAAAAAAAAGTCCCAAATTGCTATTATGGAATGGAATAGTCCCCTCATTACCCTGCCTCCCCCCAGTGCAGGCGCAGTCACCTGACCGAGGGCCGGAGCACAGGCGATGATGAAGTTGTTAGAAAACGAAGGACGAATCAATTAAAAATCAAGAGATTTGCAAATTGTTTGATTCACTGCATGCGCTCATGCAGATCCAAGTTGCGCCATGCGGTTCAGGAGTCAGGATTGCCTGGCCTCCCGGTGGAGTTACCGTCTGCGGATCAGACAAACCTGGATGCAGATAAAAATATTCATTCCACTGACTCAGCAATCAGCAGATTTATGGAGTAGGACGCCGAGCGATGGAACTGACGGCATTCAAGGCGTCTTAATCCAGATCTAACGGGAGCTTTATTGGAACTCACAGAAACAAATTTACAAAGAAGGGAAAAGAAAGATGGAAACCCGATTTAGGTGGAGCTCCATCTGCCGAATCCTTTAACTGGGATCAGTGGGTGGTAAAACCTGGCCGCCTCTGCCCGCCTTGTACTCCATTATCTACCATATATTGTGTTTTATGAAATGAAAGGCTTCCTAGAACCCATCTTATTTCTATTGATTCATAAAATAATTGTGTATTCAGGCTGAAGACAATGACTCAAGAATCAAAAACAAATCAAATCCCTCCCAAAATGTCCAGAGATCCCCCCACCCAAACCCCCCAAACCCCCAGCATGCAATGCCATGTTCCATGTGGTCTTCTGGCCAGTTAGATGACAACCAAGGGTCCTCCTTCCTCTTCTACAGCGGTGGTCAGGGTCCTCCTTCCTCTTCTACAGCGGTGGTCAGGGTCCTCCTTCCTCTTCTCCTACAGCGGTGGTCAGGGTCCTCCTTCCTCTTCTCCTACAGCGGTGGTCAGGGTCCTCCTTCCTCTTCTATAGTGGTCAGGGTCCTCCTTCCTCTTCTCCTACAGCGGTGGTCAGGGTCCTCCTTCCTACTCTGCTACAGCGGTGGTCAGGGTCCTCCTTCCTCTTCTGCTACAGCGGTGGTCAGGGTCCTCCTTCCTCTTCTCCTACAGCGGTGGTCAGGGTCCTCCTTCCTCTTCTGCTACAGCGGTGGTCAGGGTCCTCCTTCCTCTTCTCCTACAGCGGTGGTCAAGGTCCTCCTTCCTCTTCTGCTACCATGGTGGTTAGGGTCCTCTTTCCTCTTATGCTACAGCGGTGGTCAGGGTCCTCCTTCCTCTTCTCCTACAGCGGTGGTCAATGTCCTCCTTCCTCTTCTGCTACAGCGGTGGTCAGGGTCCTCCTTCCTCTTCTCCTACGGCAGTGGTCGGGGTCCTCTTTCCTCTTCTCCTACAGCGGTGGTCGGGGTCCTCCTTCCTCTTCTCCTACAGCAGTGGTCAAGGTCCTCCTTCCTCTTCTGCTACCACGGTGGTTAGGGTCCTTTTTCCTCTTCTGCTACCACGGTGGTTAGGGTCCTTTTTCCTCTTCTGCTATCATGGTGGTCGGGGTCCTCCTTCCTCTTTTCCTACAGCGGTGGTCAGGGTCTTCCTTCCTCTTCTTCTACAGCGGTGGTCAGGGTCCTCCTTCCTCTTCTGCTACAGCGGTGGACAGGGCCCTCCTTCCTCTTCTCTAGTGGTGGGTCAGGGTCCTCCTTCCTCTTCTCCTCCTGTGTTGGCCAATGTTGCAGAAAGTAGTACTGACATAATCAGCACTACATTGTGGGTGTGTCCATTCTGCTCAGTGGGTGTGTCCATTCTGCTCAGTGGGTGTGTCCATGCCACCCTGGGCTCACAGGAATGATCCCGAGTAGTGTTCAGCCTAGAAGAGGACCAGACCAAGGTGGGGGACGGTGTCAGCGGGTAGGTGGTGTTACATAGTTTACATAATTGGTAATGTTGAATAAAGAGATCAGTCCATCCAGTTCAAGCGCTGTGGTTGGGTGTATCATGTCACTACCATTTCCCCTATCCCTGTATATTGCGTTCACTAAGATGCCCATCTAAGAATTGTTTTTTTTTAAACTATCAACATTTCCCTCTGATACCACTGATTGTGGAAGGGAGTTCCACGTCCTTACCGCTCTGACAGTAAAGAACCCCCTACACGGTTGAGCTGCTGCTCTTCTAATTTAATTTAATGGTCACGTGTTTTCCTAAGTTCCCCGAAGCTGAAAAGTGTTCTTCCTATGCTGGGATCACCATGGAGGTATCTGCATATCGCCATCATATCTCCTCTCAGGGGTCTCTTCTCGTAGCTGAGGTCCTCCAGCCCCCTTTGCTGCCCTTCTCTGGGCTCTCTCCAGTTCCAGCACATCCTTCCTGAGGACTGGTGACCAGAACCGGACAGCCTGCTCCAGATGTGGCCGGACCAAAGTTTTGTAAACGGGTAGAATTAGAGATTTCTCTCTGGAGTAAACCCCTCTGAATGCTCGCTGATGGGCCGCTGCTTGGTGTGGGTGTTGCTGGGTATTGAATCAAAATCCAATTAAAAGAAAAAACAATTTTGAATACTTCCGTAATTTTTGATGGTAGCCACTAAAGAAGTGAACCCCCTTCTTGTTGTATGTTTGTTGGGGTATCTGGTTATGAGTTCCTAACCGCCATACTTGGCCATACACCAGTAGAGTTTGTTTGAAAATGTGCGTTTTTGGATTTTCTGATGGCGATTGGGGTCAAGCTGGAGATCATTTTTGGCCATAGATGGAAATTCTTTTCTCAAGCAATGTAAAAATTCTAACCATCAATGAGGTCTTCATCTGGGAAAAAACATGAATTGTGATGAAACCTGTTTAATACATCGATGAGACCAGATCCTGCGCTTCTCCCTACGGCCGAATAGAGGCTCATCTCTGCTGCCGACTCCCGAGAGGGAGGACACAGAGGAGGGCAGAACTCCTCCTACAGATCCTGCACCCAGGGCTGCTGTTAAACCATGGGGCCCCATACAGCCAACCCCATAGAACCCTCCCCCAAACCCCCCCCGCGCACAGGTTTCTATGCTTCATTTTTGAATGAACACAGTGAGTGATTGGTACCAAACACTCATTGTGTTCATTCAGGAAAGAAAAGGGCTGGAAAATGTCACATTTTAACTGGACCCTTCCCCCACTCTCCATTCTGAAGGATTCTATTTTTTGCTTGCAGTGGGAAGGAGAGGAGGGAATCCAGTAGCACCGTAGGGGTTGGGGGCACACAAGGGGGCCTGGGTAGCAGGGGGAAGAAGATGGTGTACAGTGAGGGTGATGGGTATGGGGGGGGTGTTGTATGTGGACACCAGTAGAGGCAGAGACGGGGGTGCTGCGGCTGCACAGAGAGGTGCAGGCAGAGCCGAGGATAAGGGGAACCACCAGTCCTCCTGTATGGGGCCCAGGCAGCTGGGTGAATTGGATGTGGGCAGGGAGGGTGATCGTCACGGGGGGGTCAATTACTGGAACCGATCCCCAGCATGGTTCTCTCTGCAGCAGCTGAAAGCCATCTGGAGGGAGAGGAGAAAAAGCCAGCTTTCAGCTACTGCAGTGAAAGCTACAGGGGATCGGTTCCAGGAATTGCCCCCCCACTGTGCCGATCACCCTCCCTGCCCACATCGGATTCACCCAGCTGCCTGGGCCCCATACAGGAGGACTGGTGGTCCCCCCTTATCCTCAGCCCTGCCTGCACCTCTCTGTGCAGCCGCAGCACCCCCCCCCCCGTCTCTGCCTCTCCTGGTGTCCTCATACAACAGACGTCGGTCCTCCTCCAAACTCTGCACATTCTGCTCCCCCAGCTCAGGGGGTGCACGGTGATGTAAGGGAGGGTTGGGGGGACTCTTGACTTCTGATGGTGGAGGGGGTGGGGTGGACATCTTGTCTTACAGATACAACCAGCCCTTCGAGGGCAACCATAACCAGTGGTGTATTTAGGTTTTGTGCTGCCCTAGGCAATACAACCCCCCCCCCCCCCCTGCAAAGAGAGAGCCTGCCACTGACCAACACCAAACCCCCCCCGCTGGGCGAGCCTGACAGTGACCAACAACACCCCTGCCTCATCCCTCCCCACCCGAGAGAGGCTTCCACTAACACCCCCCCACCCCATGGCGACAGAAGGACACTCATCCTCACAGCTCTGGACATCCCTGGGAAGGACAGTTGGGCTCTGCATACGCCATCAAGCAGCCCACAACCTCTCTCAGATCCCACCTGGTCCCCATGTCGCATATGTCCCTTCTTCCAGGGGGCGGTGCTGCCCCCCTAAAAAATGCCTCCCTAGGCAAATGCCTTGTTTGCCTTGTGGTAAATACGCCCCTGACCATAACGGTGATGTGGCCCGCCATAGAATTGAGTCCCCCCCCCCCCCCCCCCCCCGCTCTGCTCCTACTTGGAAAAATAGTTTTTGTCTTTAAATAAATTTTAAATGTATCAAAATTAATTCAACAAATGAATTGTATCAATGTAACTCCAGCTGCGGTGAGACTACAAGTCCCATGAAGCTTTGCAAGTCTCTGACGGCCACAGGCACGGTTCCCAGAGGCAGGGGATGATGGGAGTTGTAGTAGCACCGCAGCCGGAGTGCCATTTGCCTGCCAACCTTTCCATCCATTTTTCCCCATCTTTGTATGTAGCAGGGAAGTTGTTAACAACACTCGGCGCTGTCTCAGTCTCCCCGCGGCGGCGTGTAGCTCACCTCTCCACCACACAACACAACGCCGCGTTTGCCGCTAATCCAACAGCACACAACCCTCGCAGGATGACATGTAAAGTACACCGTAATTGCTTCCAACCTCTCTGTCTCTCAGACCCCCGGCGTGCCTGGCAATCTGAGTGGCTGCTTTGCTGGTTACATCGATTACAGCCCGCTGGGCGCGGGACCGGACGGGAATTCTTTCTAAATGGAAAGCCGGCGTTCAGTCTGGAGAGGAGAAGAAACCGGGAAAAAAGGCAAAACAATTCAATACCACCCCCCCCCCCAATGAGGTGTAAATGATGGGAAGGCTGGGGGAGGGACTTCAGTTTGGCGTTTAGTTTTGTTTTTTTCATAAATCTCCGTAATGATCCTCGATGAATTGGGCCGAGGGGAACGAAACGCGCGTCTCACAGTTTATCTTGCATTATCCATGTGGGATATCATACATCAATCCAGGGGGGATGGACCATTTGGAAACTCGGGCACTGCCCGAGGGCCCGGGGTCAGTAGGGGCCCCCAAGAGATGCCCCTGGTACCTTTCTCATAGGCTTTTTTGAGTTTGGGCAAGGACACAGGGGCCCCATGATCCCCTATTGCCCGGAGGTCCCATGAGTTGTCAGTCCTCCCCTGTATTAATCCTGAAAGGGTTCCCATCTTCTCATTTCTATTAATAACCAGTGGCAAGGTATTTCATTTTTGCTGGCCAGGCCACGTGGGCCCCTGAACAACAGCATTGGGCCCCTCAGTTTAGGCTAAAAAGGCCCTGAGCTCCACCTCCCGGGATGCTGCACATACTTCTCCCCTGTAAAGCTGAACCCCAAAGCTTCCCTTTCAGTCTTACTCAGGCTCCTCCCCTTCAGCTTTGCATGGTATACGTGCTCCTCCTCTTCAGTCTTGCACAGGTGTACCAGCTCCTCCCCTTCAGTCTTGCATAGGTGTACCGGCTCCTCCCCTCCAGTCTTGCACAGGTGTACAGGCTCCTCCCCTTCAGTCTTGCATAGGTGTACCGGCTCCTCCCCTTCAGTCTTGCACAGGTTTTCCAGCTCCTCCCCTTCAGTCTTGCATAGGTGTACCGGCTCCTCCCCTTCAGTCTTGCACAGGTGTACCAGCTCCTCCCCTTCAGTCTTCCACAGGTGTAGCAGCTCCTCCCCCATTAGCCTTGCACAGGTGTACCAGCTCCTCCCCTTCAGTCTTGCACAGGTGTACCGGCTCCTCCCCTTCAGTCTTGTACAGGTATATTGGCTCCTCCCCTTCAGTCTTTGACAGCACAGGTGTACCAGCTCCTCCCCTTCAGTCTTGCACAGGTGTACCGCTCCTCCCCTCCAGTCTTGCACAGGTGTACCGGCTCCTCCCCTCAGTCTTGCACATGTGTACCGGCTCCTCCCTTTCAGTCTTGCACAGGTGTGCCGGCTCCTCCCCTCCAGTCTTTGCACAGGTGTGCCGGCTCCTCCCCTTCAGTCTTGCACAGGTGTATTGGCTCCTCCCCTTCAGTCTTGCACAGGTGTACCGGCTCCTCCCCTCCAGTCTTGCACAGGTGTACCAGCTCCTCCCCTTCAGTCTTGCACAGGTGTATCGGCTCCTCCCCTTCAGTTGTGCACAGGTGTACTGGCTCCTCCCCTCCAGTCTTGTACAGGTGTAGCAGCTCCTCCCCTGGACTGAAATGGCTTCCTCTGATGTCACTGCACACTGTGAACGTCTCACATGTGCATTAGAAGCTGCAGCCAGTCAGATAAAGCTCCATCTCATTTTCTGGCTGGGGAACATCCAGCATCATCTAGCACTTTCCGCCCCATTCTGACTATTCCTGGCTACGCCCCTTTCATTCATTAGAGCCCACTTCATTTCCTGGCTGGAAACCCAAGAACAAATGTGACATATTGCAGATTGCCAGTCCTCAGAAGTGGTAGCTGCATTAGTTTTCTTTTTTTCAGGCTGATTTTCACCTGGTGATCCTGCCAGTAACACATTCCTGTCCTAGGGTGACAATGCTCACCCACCATGCTGCATTTATAGAGTGGCAGTGTTGTAGGACAAGACTACAGAACACCCCCCCCCCTCTTCTCCATATCATAGGGGATGTTTAGTAGTTCACAGACAGACCTGACAACAATGTATCTGATAAGGTCAGCGGACACAAAGAGCACAGGAATTACTAGCTCACTACATTTCTGGCAGGATCAGCGGGTATTTTGTGCACCTATAGAACAGATATAAGAAGACCAATGGTATATTCGGTCCGGGCCAATGGCGAGCAATCAAAAGATGTTCGTTGTTGGAGTTCCAGGTTCTGCTAAATGTGCCATTCAAAGAGTTTTGTTATATTTGTTATAGCTGTTGATCCTGCCAGAAATCATGGGAGCGGATGACTTCTGTGTCCAAGGAGAAGAGAGAGAAGGGGATGAGGAGGGGCTATGAAGAGAAGGAGGGGTTATGAAGAAGGGGGAGGAGTTTAAGAGGGATTATGAAGATAAAGGTGGAGTTGTGAAGGAGGGGGGAGGAGATGAGGAGGGGCTATGAAGAGAAGGAGGGGTTATAAAGGAGGGGGAGGAGATGAGGAGGGGCTATGAAGATAAAGGTGGGGTTATGAAGGAGGGGGGAGGAGATGAGGAGGGACCATGAAGCTGAGGAGGGGTTATATAACAGGGGGGAGGAGATGAGGAGGGGCTATGAAAATAAAAACGGGTTATGAAGGAGGGGGAGGAGATAAGCAGGGCTATGAAGATGAGGAGGGGTTATGAAGGAGGGGGAAGGAGATGAGGAGGGGGTTATGAGGAAAGGGGGGGAGTAAGGGGGGGTGAAAGTGTCCGCGACTGGAAGGGGGGGTGAAAGTGGTCCGAGCAGGAAGGGGGGGAAAGTGTCCGGGACTGAAAAGGGGTGAAGTGTCTGGACTGGAAGGGGGGAAAGTGTCCGTACTGGAAGGGGGTTGAAAGGTGTCCGACTGGAAGGTGGGGGAAAGTGTCCGGCGTACTGGAAAGGGTGGGAAAGTTGTTCCGGAACTGGAAGTGTGGGTGGGGGAAAAAAGTGTCCAGGAACTGGAAAGGGGGAAAAGTGTTCCCGGACTGGAAAGGGGTGAAAGTGTCCGTACTTGTGAAAAAAAAAGAGAGGGGAGGGGGAAGTGTCTGGATCTGGAATGGGGAAAAGTGACCAGACTGTGGAATGGGGGGGAATGTGTCCGTCCACAGGAAGAAGGGGTGAAAGTGTCCGGACTGGAAAGGATGGGGGGAAAGTTGTCCTGGACAGGAAGGGGGGAAGTGTCCGGACATGTAAGGGGGGAAAGTGTCCCGGACTGGAAGGGGTGAAAGTGTCCGGACTGGAAAGGGGGGAAAGTGTCCGGACTGGAAGGGGGTGACAGTGTCTCCTGACAAGGAAGGGGGGGGAGAGTTGTTCCGGACCTGGAAGGGGGGTGAAAGTGTCCCGGACTGGGAAACGGGGGGGAAGTGTCACACCCCAAACGGTGACTGGAAGGGGGGGGTGGAAGTGTCCGGTATACCTGTAAAGGGGGTGGAAAGTGTCCCGGGACAGGAAGGGTGGGGAAAAGGTGTCCCGGGAAAAACTGGAAGGGTTGGAAAAAGTGGTCCGGCGACTGGCAAGGGGTTGTATGAAAGTGTCCCGTAACTGGAGAGGTGGTGGAAGATGTCCCGACATGGAAGAGGGGGAATTGGTCCGGACAGGAAGAGGGGGGACAAGATGATCCGTGACTGGAAAGGGGATGAAATATTGTACCGAACTGGAAATGAAGGGGGGGCAAGTGGTCCGGACACTGGAAGGGGGGGAAAGTGTCCGCACAGGAAAGGGGTGAAAGTGTCCGGACTGGAAAGGTGGGGAAAGGTGTCCGGACTGGAAAGGGGGGGAAAGTGGTACCGGACTTGGAAGTGGTGGAAAGTGTCCGGACTGTCAGGGGGGTGGGGAGTCGTCCGGACTGGAAGGGGGACACAGTGTCCGCACTGTGAAGGGGGGGAAAGAGTCCGGACTGGAAGGGTGAGAAAGGGTCCGGACTGGAAGGGGGGGGGGGAAAGATGGTCCGGTAGCAGAAAGATGGGGGGGGAGAAGGTGTCCCGGACATGGAAAGGGGGGAAAGTAGTTCCCGGACTGGAAGGGGGGGGAAAGTGTCCGGGGGAACTGGAAGGGGTGGGAAAGTGTCCGGGACTGGATGGGTGGGAAAGTGTCCGGACTGGAATTGGGGGGGGGGAAAGTGTCCCCGACTCGAAATGTGGGGGGGGAAAGTGTCCGGACTGGCAAGGTGGGAAAGTGTCCCCCGGACCTGGAAGGTGGGTGGGGGGGAAGTGTCCGGAGCACTGGATGATGGGGGGGGGAAGTGTCCAGACTGGATGATTGAGGGGGAAGTGTCCCGGAGGACTGAAGAGGTGGGGGCGGGCGGGGGGAAGTGTCTGTTCCTGAGGACTGGGGATTGGGGTGTGGGGGGGAAGTGTCCCGGACCTGAAAGAGGTGGGGGGAGAAGAGTCCCGAGACTGGAATGGGGGAAGTTGTCCGGAACTGGAAGGTGGGGGGGGGGGGAAGTGTCCGGACTGGAAGGAAGGGGGAAATGGTCCCGGACTGGGGGGGGTGGGAAAGTGTCCGACTGGATGTGGGGGGGGGAAGTGTCCGTTGACTTGAAAGGTGAGGGGGGGGAAAGTGTCTTCAGGACTCAGGATGGGGGGGGAAGTGTCCGGACTGGAAAGGTGGGCGAGGGAAGTGTCCGGACTGGAGAGGGGTGGAAAGTGTCCCGGACTGAAGTTGGGGGGGGGGGAAAGTGGTCCGGACTGGAAAAGGGGGAAGTTGTCCGGACTGGAAGTGGATAAAGGGACAAATATGCGAATGTGTTTTTATTCCAGAGATGTACTCGCATTTTTTTTGCCTTGACATCCACCATAAATCTGAATGGAGATGCTGCTAGTTTCCCTTCTGGGCAGTGGGTGATGCTGGTGAGGCCGGGGGTCCCCGTATGAGTCCTGCCCCCCCCCCCCCGGGATCAGGGATTTCAAGTGCTCAGCTGGCGTGTTTTTTGCATGTTATAGTAACGTTTACACCCAGAACATTGGCTGAGCTGTGTCTATGCATTCGGGTCGATCCGCGCTCGGTTGCGCGGCGGCGGCTCTGTAATGCACCGCTTCGGATTTTCTTCTCATCATCTCCCGGCTCTCGGCTCAGACCTTTTGTTCTGCCGTTCTGCGGCTTTTTTTTGAAATCCGCTTTCTTTGTGTACATCACTCTCTCTCGTGTGTTTTGAAATCCCTTTTTTTTTTTTTCCTGTTGCGGCTCCTTTCATATTTCAGGCTTCATGTATTAATCATGAGTGTTGGTGAAGGCAGGAACGCCGTCACGCCTAAATTAGTTAGTAAACTCGTAGGAGCTCCCGCGGGCCCGCCATCCGAAACGTGTGTTGGGGGAAGAAAAGGTTCAAAAAAGAGGAAATGAGAGCAATGGAGTCCAGATTTGGGTACCTGATTCCCAAAAGGGATGCTGGGAGCTGGAGCGAGCACAAAGGAGGACATCTCTATTAATAGAGTCATGGGGGGGGGAATTATCTACGAGGAGAGACTCTCTGGATTGAATTTCCTCCATGGAGATTAAGGGGGGAAATGATCGCCTTGTATAAAATATAAAAGGCCTCTGTAGTAAACACGTGATGAGAGGTCCTTGCAAAAAGACAAGGGGGCGCTGTATATCAATGTTTCTCAACCAACGGTGCCCTTTGGGTTTCCCAGGGAGGATCAAGCACAGGGGTATCCAAACTTTCTAAACAAGGGGCCGGTTTACTGTCCTTCAGACTTTAGGGGGGGGCCAGACTGTGGCCATCAGAAGCAGAAATGTCCCGGCCAGGGGCGGACTGATAACTCATGGGGCCCCCTGGGCAATAGGAGATCATGGGCCCCTGTGTCCTTGCTCAAAAACTCAAAAAAGCCTATGAAAAAGGTACCAAGGGTCATCTCATGGGGCCCCCTACAGACCCCGGGCCCTTCGGGCATTGGAGTAAACATTGGTGTCATTGGTAGGAATTGTGCCCCATCACTGGTGTCATTGGAAAGAATGTGCCCCGTCTCTGGTGATATTGGGCCCCATTGTTTGTGTCATTGGGAGGTATTGTGCCCCTTTGTTGGTGTCAGTGAATAAAGTAGTGCTCCAAGGGCCAGATAAAAGCAAGCAAAGGGCCGCAGTTTGGAGACCACTGCTCAAGCACAAGACCCATTTTGCCCCAGATCAGAGATCGGAGGGAGGCTCTGTGTAGATGGGGGGTCCCTGATGTGATGAAGACTCTGGTGTGATGGGGGGGGGACTTTGTCATGGGGGTACTCTGATGTACTAGGGAGACTTTCATGTATAGGGGAGACTTTGATGTGATGGGGGGCCTATGTCTCTGTGGTGATGGGGAACCTCTGATGTGACGAGAGGACCACTAATGTCATGGGGTACTCTGATGTCATGGGGAAACCTCTGATGTGATGGGGGGGTCTCAGATGTGATGGGAGGACCTCTAATGTGATGGAGAGACCTCTGATGTAATGGGGGGGTCTCTGATATGATGGGAGGACCTCTGATGTGATGGGGGGCCTCTGATATGATGGGAGGACCTCTGATGTGATGGGGGGACCTCTGATGTGATGGGAGGACCTCTGATGTGATGGGGGGCCTCTGATATGATGGGAGGACCTCTGATGTGATGGGGGGACCTCTGATGTGACGGGGGGACCTCTGATGTGACAGGGGGACCTCTGATGTGATGGAGGAGCTCTGATATGATGGGGGGACCTCTGATATGATGGGGGGACCTCTGATGTGATGGGGGACCTCTGATGTGATGGGGGGACCTCTGATGTGATGGGGACCTCTGATGTGATGGGGGGACCTCTGATGTGACGGGGGGACCTCTGATGTGATGGAGGAGCTCTGATATGATGGGAGGACCTCTGATGTGATGGGGGGACCTCTGATGTGACGGGGGGACCTCTGATGTGATGGAGGAGCTCTGATATGATGGGGGGACCTCTGATATGATGGGGGGGACCTCTGATGTGATGGGGGACCTCTGATGTGATGGGGGACCTCTGATGTGATGGGGGACCTCTGATGTGATGGGGGGACCTCTGATGTGATGGAGGAGCTCTGATATGATGGGGGGACCTCTGATGTGATGGGGGGACCTCTGATGTGATGGGGACTTCTGATGTGATGGGGGACCTCTGATGTGATGGGGGGACCTCTGATGTGATGGAGGAGCTCTGATGTGATGGGGGGACCTCTTATGTGATGGGGGGACTTCTGATGTGATGGGGGGACCTCTGATGTGATGGGGGGGAACTTCTGATGTGATGGGGACTTCTGATGTGCTGGGGGGACCTCTGATGTGATGGGGGGGACCACTGATGTGATGGGGGGGGGGGACCTCTGATGTGATGGGGGACCTCTGAAGGTTCCGTGGGCCTCATCTATGAACTCTGATCTTTAGTTCTTTCCATAGATTCTCCGTTGGATTCCAGGCAGCTGATTGGCCGGGCCATACTAGCAGCTTTCCTTTCTTGCTGTGAAGCCAGTAGAGCGTTCCGTTGGCTTGGTTTGGGATCGATGTCTTGCTGGAACGTTCGCCCTCGTTTCATTGTCATCATCCTGGGAGATGGCGGCAGATTGTTCAGTGTATATATATATTCTGATGGCAATACGTGAATCCTCTCATATTTCATCGGCGTTGTCAGCGATTCCCAAACACAGAATATTAGTCCTCAGCACGGCGCCCGTATCATACGTAGGAAGAATGACGACCATGGCCACGTTGAATGCACTGACTTAGCGCGGCGCACATTAATTAACCCCCCCGGCGGTATTCCTGAGTGTAGCTCGGGGTAAAGTTTCAGCACCACAAGCGGTGACCCCCCTGAGCTACACTCGGGAATACACTGCAGCGTTGCTCCGGGATCCCTCCATCACTTACCTTGTCCTGCGCTTCCGCGGTGTCCCCAGCAATGTCCTCCGGCCGATGCCGGCATCTGTCTTCCGGGTTCCGTTCCCTGCGACGTCGGGACGTACGGGGGATGGAACTGGCGGGAAATTTGAAAATGTAAAAAGTGACATTCACTAAATACACTAAAATCACATCGTATAACATTCCTGTATCCAACCATTTCACATACATTTTGTCCCGAGTGCTTTGTCCGGCGCCCTGCCTGCATTTTTACCGCCCTTTCTGCCTGGAAACTGAGAAACGTCCATGGCGTCCAAAAAGCGTCCCTTTAGGTCAGACGCGGTTTTAGAGCGGCTAGAGAGACAGCGATAGTAAATCAGAACCACTTGCAGAATTGAGTGATAATGATTGGTGGGGGAAATTCCTCATCAGACACTGAAAACGATTCTGCGACTGAGCTCAGCGATGGGCCAACTTGGCGCTCTATTTCACATTTCTGTGTTTTTGGTTTGATTATATTATTGAATTACATTTAATATTATTATATTATTATTTTTTATGATTATTTATTAAATTATAATTTAGAATTTTGTGTTTCAAATTTTATCCTCCCCGGGATGTTTACTAGACTCTTGTCCGGACAGATTTCAGCGAGTTATTCCTAAAAATTACAGCCGACAATAAAAAAACGACATATTTCCATGCAAAAAAAAATGTACCGCTTTGAGCACAGAAATACTGACATAATCAGACCACTAGGGAGGTTAATGAACGTTCATAGAAAATGCACCCCTTAAATGTGAATGGGCCCCGAATGTCACCGATCGTCTAATCTATGAATGTCGCAACCGATTGCCCGGCGATACTAAATCTATGAACTCTCTTTCCCTTTCCTGCAGACGATGTGCCTCCATACTTCAAGACGGAGCCGGTGCGGAGTCAGGTCCACCTGGAGGGCAATCGTTTGGTTCTGACTTGCATGGCGGAGGGGAGCTGGCCTCTCGAATTTAAATGGCT